CCTCCCCCATTTCTGAAGAAGGGTCTAGGCCCGAAACGTCAGCCTTCCTGCTCCTCTGATGCTGCTTAGCCTGCTGTGTTCATCCAGCTGTACACCTTGTTATCATGAAGTGATGATTCTTTCATTCATTATTACATTTTTCTAAATCTTTTTTAAAAAAGAAGTACAAACATGAGGCACAATGCAAGACATATCCTACTATCTCTGGTGCAATCGTTTAACCATTTATGGTGTCCTGACTCGGAATGAATTGCTGGTGGTAAAGATATAGGGTTAACTGTTCAACCAGTGTTTAGGGAGTGAATGTTCAGTAACCTTACTGCCGATGTAGCTCCCTTTCTATATTAAAGAAAATAGCAGCAAGATTTATTTTTAGTGGATGATCTTTTAAAAATATTTTGTAGATGCAGTTTAACCAAAAGCAGGAATGGAAATCATGAACAGAGAATGGGACATCAAAAGATGATGAAAGACAAGACTTTCTTTTCACAAAGTGCAGCAAGTTTTTGATGTGTAAGTTGCTCTTGTAGGAAACGTACAAACAAGTGAATTAGGAGCAAGTCTCGGCTATTCAGTCCCTTGGCCCTCCTCCATCCCATCTGTCTCATTGTGGCCTCACCTCACTTACCTGTCTACCTCAATATCTTTTGACCTTCTTGTAGGTCATGGTTTTGTCTATCTCTGTCCTAAAAATATTAATTAATTAGTGCAGTCTCCACCATTTTCTAGGGAAGTGAAGACTACAGATTTCTGACCTTTTGAGAAGAAGAAATTCCTCCTCATCTCCATCCTGTAATTTTACACTGTGTCCCTAGTTCTAGTCTCTTCCACAACACTGCATAGTCCCACAAACTGCAAAGTGATAATGACCAGAAGTTTGCAGTTGACGCAAATATGTGAACGCACCAAGACATTTCCAAAAAGTCGTTATGATAGCTAAGCTACCATGATTAGATCAGATTTAGTAAAACCAAGTAGAAAATTGTGCGAAATGTTTGAATATGAGCTAAGAAGGTTCCAATGATCTGATATTTGCTATCAAACATTGCTATAACATTGAAAATTTTATTTTTGGACTTTGTATTGATTTAATGTTTTATTGCACTGTACCACTTTTATCATTAGTCAGTGAAGCTTATTTTTAATAAAAGATTTTTCTTCTCCTTTAGGTTAGCACTCATCCAAAAGAGTATTGGTGATGATGCACCATGGCACTGGTCCACAAAACATACAGCGTCCACTGCAGAGATCGAAGTCGTATACAGGCAATGAGGGAGATGATCAGACTCCTTTACCCCAGTCTCCTGCCACAGCATTTGCTCCGGCCCTCAGCCCTGTACCACGTACTGTGGCCAGTCCTTCTGGGCCCCAGTCACCCAGTTACCAGCTTCAGCAACTTATAATGAATCGTAGTCCTGTATCAGCCCAGAATGTCAACATCACGCTGCAGAATGTGAGCCAAGTGATGGCTGGGAATCAACAAATTACATTGGCTCCCCTGCCAATTCAAAACCCGGCATCCCCGGGGTTCCAGTACAGCTCGCAGGCTGTGGGGCAGCAAAGGCGGTTTGATCATGGGTCACCTTCATACATTCAAGTCACCTCTCCTTTGCCTCAAGTTCAGCCACAGAGCCCCACACAGCATAGCCCTGCAACACTTGTGCAGAGTGTGCAACGGCCAGGGACAGCAGCCCCAGGGCTGGGCATGTGTAACCAGAGCCCAACCCGAGGATTTGTGGATGCCAATGTGCTGGTCAGACAACTGAATCTTAGCCCATCCAGTGCTGGGCACTTTGTGTACCAGGACCCGTCCAGCCTCACTCAGATCACTTCAAATGTTGGTGGGCAGATACAACTGACGACGGCGGGCACATCTGCTTCTGTGCCCCGAGAACGCAGACTCTCTCAGCCTCACTCCCAAACTGGCGGAACTATTCACCACCTGGGACCTCAGAGCCCTGTTGCCAGTGGCGCAATGCAGCCCCTGCCTAGTCCGAGCCACATCACCACCTCAAACTTGCCTCCGCAGATCAGCAGCATCATACAGGGACAGCTGATTCAGCAGCAACAACAACAGCAAGTTCTTCACAGTCAGCAAATGGCCAGACCGGTAAATTATGAAAGGCCATCTGTAACCCTTACTGCGGGTGTGGTAGGGCCATCGGCCTTTGGGATAACGTCCCCAGCATCTCCTAGCCCATCTCGGAACACTGTGGCTCAGACCCTGGCATCAACTTGTCTGACTCCTAGTAGCAGTTGCATTCCGTTCGTGAGGAAACAACCAAAGAAATTGGAAGAGATTCCACCTGCCACCCCGGAGATTTCTCATTTGAGAAAGCAATGTTTGGAGCACCACTTTGCTGAAATGGAGACTCTAAGAGAGACATTTAAGGATTACTTGATTGAACTTTTCTTCCTTCAGCACCGTCAAGGAAATATGATGGATTACTTGGCATTTAGAAGGAAGCCGTGTCTAGCCTTGTTGGCATATTTGAAGCAAAATGACTTGGACCTGGAAGAGGAAGAAGAGGAAGAACAGTCTGAGGTCATTAATGACGAGGTAAACTAATGATTTACTATTTAGCCCAATGACCATTCATACTTCCTTACTTGTGGCAATGGCAGCTCAAGAAAGTGGTTGTGTCCGTATGTCTAGGCAAGATAATAAACTCTTCACTTACAAGCCAATCCTTCAGTTTTCTTTCAAATCGATTGAAATTGGGACTACAGGACCTTGTTAAGGGTAGAAGTATTTTGAAGTTTCTTGCCCCTTGGCATTAGCAACCACACTCTTGTCCTGCTTAACACAAGGGTGAGAATCTCAGCTCATATAGCTTTGCTCAGCGGTCTGTTTAGAAGAGCTACACCGATCATTTTCATCTTGGTTCTAGCGTGGTTGCAAATCCATATTCTTCCACCCAGCTCCCTTTTTTTTTGTTGTGTAGAATGTCTCCATTTATTACTGAATGTTACAATCAATGTCCACAGCTCATGTTGAATTATGGTTTAATTCTTTAATATTTCCGACTATTCTGTGGGTATTTTCTAAACTGTGATATTGTCATTGCTTCATTCTATGATATTAATGTGATTATTTTCAAAAGGTCTAACTATAAGAGGGGCCAAATTAATTTTGAATAATTAAAAATTGAATTTTCTGATTGTACAGAATCCAATTGGAATCATGCAAAATCTTGACTAAGTCAAAACTTTGGACCAATCACACAAGCCTTGTATGTAATGGACATTCAGAATAAATGGAGTTGGATGTGAAATGAAGATATTATGATGTAGTATTTCAAAACACCCCCCTTGAATACCTGTGGGATAAATTACCCATTTATATCATTGTTTAGTAATATAAATTGGTGGAAATTTAATGGAAAACCTTGATTGAGTGCATGGTTTCTTTCCACATATCTGTTCAATATGATCATTTTGTCACCTGAGCCTCTTGATGATCTCCATCTAGCCACATCCAACATAATCCATTGTCACTAGTGTTGGTTTTCTGTACAAGGGTGAAAGGAAAGCCAGGAATATTCTGCAACTCTGCTTGGTGTGATGTTTTGTAAGGCCACCTTTGGGATATTGTACACCTTTTAGTTCTTCAACACTTCCAGACATTTATCTACTGGAAGGGGATAGACTCTCTTTTCTGTAGCATTAAAGCATTCGGTACACCAAGCCACAGGGTTGAGTTTGACTCTTTAACCCTATTGATCTGCCAGTGACAGTTCTTCATTAGGTTTACTTAGTCCATTCTGGGCAAAACCAGTAACAAAGGAAATTTTGATGAAATGGCTCTATTTGTGTATATGAGTATTTGCTTAGGAAGAAAAATGATAAAATTAACTCCTTTTCTTTTAAAAAAAAGTATTGCAAACAGAATCATTTTTGAATGTATTACTGCAATTCTGAAAATCTCTGATGTGGATCTGAAAGGCCAGAAGATATGATTTTCTCTTTGTACTGTGCTATGTTTTTTTATTTCATAGTTTATTATTTCTGAAACAAGAGTTAAAGTACAGTTTAGATTGTGGTCTGCTAAATACTGTTTAATGGTTGATTTTATCTGTTTCTTTCAAAGCTTTTATGGATGAGCCAACATTTGCAAACACCTATGAATTACACCTTCAAAAAATACAGTGCCTAAGTTATTCAGTATTTATTAATGAGGTATAGACATGTTTTATGTTGAAACCTACTGGAAGGTGATCTGTGTAAACCACCGCAGTTGTGACTTTTAAAACATAAACTCTATCAAAACTCGTAGTGTTACTACGAAACCTACCTGAAGCAGAATGTATAGACAGCTCTTTTGCTGAGTGTAGAATATACGGGGCTAAAACTACAAGTATTAAAAAAACCACTGGAGGCAATAGAGACTTTTTTTAAAATTAAGAATCAGTGCAATGAATATTACTGGGAAGAGCCGTGACTCTGGATGAGCTGAATGAATCTTGCAGCTTGGTATTAGACTACACCGTAGTCTGGCAGTGATGCATTTCAGATTCGGAGAAAACTGTTGTCCATTAATATAACGTAGTCACCAGGAAATCAAATGGAATTCAAAAGCAGCTTTTTAAACTAGTTAATGTATGAAACTCGCTACCGTAGTAAGTGGTGTGAAACTTGTGATCATGTGTAATAGTTTTGAACAGCGTAGACACATTTAAGAGGAGGTTAGATAAGAAGGTGAAAGCAAAAGTAGAATATGGTGATGGGGTTAGACTCGAAATCTGTATTAAATTTCCAGTGCGATGAAAATTTTGATCATATGATCAGGCACCGTTGTGTTTGAGATAGGCTAAGTAATTGTGGAATTGTTTGTAATTTTATACTTGAAATATCCAGCTACTGTAAACAACTCTTCAGTATCCTTAAGCTACGAATTACTTACTTGCATACCCAAAGTTTAGTTTAAAAGGAATTTGCTATTGGATTTATCTTTGAGCTCAAATGTGATCCACAGTAAGCTGTATGTACATTTAGGTGCTTTGGGTTTGTTCATTGTCTTTTAGGACTGTAAATTGCTCGTATAACATCCATAAAAGCTAAAATGTTCACTGCATCTTTTGTAATAATTTTGGCCATCAAGCCTGCTCCGCTGGTTCTAGCTCTTTTAATCCTAATTTCCTGCCTTTTCTGCAATTCCTTAAAGCACATGATTTCCAGGTAATTTTCTTTGTAAATAATTCAGTGGATTTTTGCTTTGTAATTTAAGATTTTCTGGAATAGTACATTCCACATGCTCTCAACTCTGTATGAGAAGAGCTTTTTCCTGAATCTTATTCTGTGGAAGTGTCTAATACGTTCCGTTCAGTTAATATAATCATAAAGTGAACATGTTTTAGTCTCCTGAAATTACATGTTTGAAAAAAAGGATTCTTGTATTTGGGCAATTTATGCAGAGCTTCATTTGTTGTCTGTCCATTGTTGCAGCAGGGTTTTAATAACTTTGAGTTTGAAAATGCTTTGTGTGCAATGGCTATAATCCTGGTAGATATTCAACATGTAATATGCATACTGATGCTGAAAGTTACTTTGCATGTTTTTTTATTTTTATAATTTACTGCACAGAGTTTAGATTTTTAACGTCAGCTGTTAGTGCCATTGTTTGCAATGTTTATTGACTTAATTTTTAAAAATTAATTTGTCTTCATTTGTTATTGTCCATAATCTCTCTTCTATGTAGTCCATATTAATTTCATGCAACTAGCAGTTCTTGAATGTCTGCATGTTATGTGTTGAATTCTTTATTATGTGTGTTGACGTGAACATGGTCTTTGAATAATTTTTTTTAAAATGGCAGTTCATGTAGCATTTTAATGTGGCAAAAAGCTCTAAAGCACTTTATAGAAGCATATCAAACACATTTGACACCAAGTGACAAAAGGAGATATTGAGAAAGGTGACCAAAACCTTGGTCTTGAGATTGAAGAGAGACTTCCAGAGCTTTAGAATCAATGCAGCTGCAGGCATGGCTGCCCATAGCAGAACAAAGAGAATTGGAGATGCTGAAGAGGTCAAAATTGGAAGAATGCGGAGACCCTGGAAGATTTTACAGTTGTGGAAGTGTAAAGATGGGGAGGGATGAAATCACAGAGGCATTCAATTGCAAAAGTGTAAGTTTTAAATTTGTTGCACTGCAGGAACTAATGATAGAACTAGTTATTATTGACCCTGTGCACTTTCCATGTGTACCTCTGAACAGAGATGAACAAATGAGTGACGGGATTGTTGTATGCACGCACTGATGAATAAAGCGGTTGGGCACATATTCTGTAGAAGGAAAGATAAATCTCCCTTTTCCTTGATTTTGTGTGTTGTTGCCCTAAAGAAGTCAATAGTAATGTCAAGCTGAACTCTGATGAACAGAGATAACAAGGTGTAGAGCTGGATGAACACAGCAGGCCAAGCAGCATCAGAGGAGCAGGAAAGCTGACATTTCAAGTCTAGACCCGTCTTCAGAAATGGGGGAGGGGAAGGGGATTCTGAAATAAATAGGGAGAAAGGGAGAGGCGGATAGAAGATGGATAAAGGAGAAGATAGGTGGAGAGGAGACAGGTCAAGGAGGTGGGGTTGGAGCCAGTAAAGGTGAGTGTAGGTGGGGAGTTATGGAGGGGATAGGCCGGTCCAGGGAGGACGGACAGGTCAAGGAGGCGGGATGAGGCTAGTAGGTAGGAGATGGGGGTGGGGCTTGAGGTGGGAGGAATGGATAGGTGGGAGGACAGGTTAGGGAGGCGGGGACGAGCTGGGCTGGTTTTGGGATGCAGTCGGGGGAGGGGAGATTTTGAAGCTTGTGAAGTCCACATTGATACCATTGGGCTGCAGGGTTCCCAAGCGAAATATGAGATGCTGTTCCTGCAACCTTCGGGTAGCATCATTGTGGCACTGCCACTCTGATGAACAGAGTTTCGTTTATCATTCCTTGTGATTTCTTTACGTCTTGTTTTGAGTGTTGCTGTCACAGTTTTTATTACAATATCCAACAATCCTAATTAATGCACAATGTAAGTTTGATATTTTTGGCAGGCGGTGTTGAACTTCAGATGGATCTAACTGTTTTTGAGATTCTGTTGTAAAGAGTCAGCAGTTTTGCTGTTATCCTGACACACATTGCTTCCTCAGTCAGCACAACGAAGACCATCAGTCATTTACTTACTGTTGAGTTCTGAAGTAGGGATGTCTTACTGTAGCTCTACAAGGTTTGGTAATATTTTAGCTGGGATATTGTTTGCAGTTTTGGTCTCCCTACCTAAGAAAGGGTATACTTGGCTTGACTGAGTCTTTATTCACTAGACTTTAGAAGAATGAGGGGGCCATTTAATTTAAATGTATAAAATTTTAACTGGCCTATACAGAATAAATGCAGGGAAGATATTTCCCTGGTTGCAGAGACTAGAACCAGGGGTCGCAGTCTCAGGATATAGTGTAGGACATTTAGGTCTGAGATGAAGAAATGTTTCTTCTCTGACAGTGGACAAAGTCAGAAGTCACACGACATCAGGTTATAGTCCAAATAGGTTTATTTGAAATCATGAGCTTTTGGAGTGT